CACTGGACTTAGATAATCTGGAAGATAGAGGAGAACCTTCAGTGGGAGATGGCCCAAAGCATCCCCCTTTTCACCCAAGAATGGGTAAGTAAAACTGTATAGCTCTGCTTTCCATACGCTGATGACCCTTCTGTGGTCCCACTACAGAGGTAATGACAGCTGGGATATGCTAGATGTCTGGAGCCAAGGTAGGAGAAAGAGGTCTTGTTCTGCCTGCTGCCTTCCACTTGCATATATGATTTCCCCAGTGCGCCCAGCCACGCTCTAAATATAATGAAGATGCCAGTGAAAGGGTAGGGAGGCACAGGGCCATTTGCTCTGGATGGTACCTGTGAGCAAAAAACATCTATACCTCCTATAGCACAGGGTCTCAGCAAGCCTCCTTGGCATATACAAGTAGGTGAAGTAAATATAACTGAGATCATACACCTGCCAGGGGATTTGGAAAGTAAGGGGGCTGAATTACCAAAATGCATCCCTCCTTTCTCCAGAGACAACTGGCTCTTTCCTAGTGTGACCAACTTGGCAAGTACTGCCAACATGTAATAGCTTGAGATCATCATTAATCTCCTGATACATGAAAGATCAATCTCCACACACTAAAGGTATCCAGATACAGTATGGAAAAGCGTATGATATATGAGGCTGGGTTATGGAGGCCTGGCTACCCCTAGCTCTGTTTCCCACCCTTTTCGGAACCTGGTGCACCAGATTGGTTTTAATTTGAGAGCTGATGTTTCCTCCCAAATCACAGAGACTTCAAATTCCCATGCCCCCCCATAGCACCTTGCCCTTGCACTAGTCTCATTTTATATATCCTTTTGCTCTCCTGATTGAGAAAGGACTGGATTTCACATCTAATTAAAAGAGATCGTATTGCCTGCTGTTTCCTTTCTTGCTCATTTTCTCTTGTGTGCAGGCAGCTTTTTATTCTCATGCTAAGTCCTATCCCTGGACCCCTGCAGCTTAAGGGACAGGCCAGAGCCAGGTTCCTACAAAAACGGAGTCAGGCCCTCTATCCCCTATTTCACCACAGGCAGATTTTCCTTCAGTGCTTCAGCTCCATCTGTGTTTGCTCTCTCACAGAACACAGTCACTGAGAATACATGATCACTTCAGTAGCACAATTCCTTGCGTGTTTCTAGTGAATGCCATCACACGCTAACTCTATATTTTCACTCTAGTGAAAAGGAGGTAGTTATTATTTTAAAACACATAGAAAACTAATTTGTTTTATCACTTTTTCATTTTGCCACTAGTTCTATGTTTGTACTACTGTGGATTTTTTTCAGGTGGGGAGGCATCCCCAAATACACGTAAATCTATGTAAAGTTGTATGGTTTTGTAGAGTTAAGAGGGTTAGAGTTTGGTTTTGTTTTTTTTTTTTTTTTTTTTGAATAGCCCAAATGCCTATTCAGTGCCAATCTAAGAAAGAATGGAGTTAGCATTTTCACACCATCCTTCCTATACAGTCCCTGAATAACCATCCAATCAAGATTTGTTTTCAATGGGGGACAAATCTTCTACAGTAGAGTATTTCAGATTTATTCCATTGGAATCTATACATTAATGCCCATTGGATGAAAAGGACATGTTCACAAAAGCCTGGACTTTGCCTTGCTGTGGCAGAAAGTTTTTTCCCACTGTATTAGTGTTAAAAATAAAAGAAAGCCTGGGAAAGGAATTGCCTCAGCATTGTGTGCTGGAGGAATGAGGCGCGCTTGAATGGAGAGGCAGGGTCCCCCTTCGCATCTGTACTCATATCAGCAAAAAACCATTCAGCCTTTCATGATTGCTCACTGCAGTGTGGGGCCAGTGTACTAAAGGATATGTTTAAGAATTGTGTCTATAAAAATCTAACTAGGCTTCTCAGGTGAAGTTGTATATATGTGCAGGTTTAAGTCTGTCTCTGTGGTTTTTCATGAAGTTGGTGACAACATTACTGCAATAATCATAACTCTGATTATTTAGGAGATAACCAGCTAAATGATTGTTTAGATAAACTAAATTTGCAATCCAGTTTGATCAAACAAGCAGTTTAGATTTTCTTGTGAAATTGCACATGTGTGCTTGTGTGTGTGACAATTTCTCATCTCTAAAGCAACCTCCATCATCACTTTCAGTGTCTTTAGTTTTTTCCACTGAGAATTAAGATGACTGTAAATCTTGGGCAATTTGAGTTTCATTCCTCAGTAATCCAGTGCTATGCAGTGGAAAGAGCATCAGAAGACACAGGTTCTAATCCCAGCCCTGCCACTTGCTAGCTGTGTGCAACTCTGAGCAAGGCATTTAGGCACTTTGAGAGCCTTGACTTTCTCTTATACCAAATCCTGAAAACATAGGATTATTATAAGGAATAAATGAGATGTTACATATGAAAGAGTTTTGTACACTGTGAAGTAATATATGGATATTATTATGATACTGATGATAGAGCTGCTTCCCAGAATTATCTGAAAGAAGACAACTCTGTCATATATGACATCTCTAGTGTTTTCATTGTGACTGGTGCTATGAGCAAATGTATGTTTAAAGAGTGTTTTTTACCTATTTAAAAAAATATTTTAATAAATCCATCCTACACAGAGATGGTTATTTTATCACAGACACAACCAGTTTTACTTAAATGAAAGAGACCTTGGTGATAATAAAAGTGTATATAGAAAACTCTACGTCTTAGTGCCAGGACAAGTTGTTCTATTTCTTGCATTGTTTTGTCTAAAAAATATGTTCTTTAAGTTAAATGACTGAGGCTATGTTGAAGCCTCAAGGCCTAGAAACATGAAAGCCATGCTAAATCATGGATAGGTGTAGAAGTAGCTAGAAGGAATACTGGGAAAACCTTTTCACACAGTTTTACAACAGACCCATGAACACCTAAGGGCCCAGACCTCATTCAGGGGCAAAGCATGAGATATAGTAAAGTAGTTAAGAGGGTGAATTCTAGAGCCAGACTGCCTGGGTTCTAATTGCAGCTCTACCACTAATTGCCTATGTAGTCTTGAGCAAGTTTCTTAATTTCTCTCGCCTGTTTTCTCATCTGTAAAATAGGAATAATAATACTACCCACTTCCTACAGCTGCTGGAAGATTTCATGAAATCATATACATAAAATAATTAGAACAGTAAGCTTTAAAAAAATGTTTGCTGTTGTTATTATTATAATGGTATACGTGCATAGGGAATTCAGCCAGAACTTGGAATTTAGTCTGCTGACTGAGTTCCTGAACAATCCCTTCCTGGGTTATTGGTGCCTTCTTCTGGGGCTATATTTTATATTAGCACAGTTATAGGGGATTCACCATGATTCTTTAATCTGGCAAAGAGAATTTGTTTCACGTAAGTAAAAAGGATAGAAGCTATAGCCTAATGCAATACTTTAGGCACGTAACAGACCTGATGGAGGTCTGGAACAAGAAAGAATTCTTTTACATAAATTAGTGTAAATTGTATCACTGAACATCGAGCTTGAAGGAATTGATTAAGTTAAGCTCAGACAGCTTGAGGGTGATCAAGTGAAGCAAGGTAGGAAAACTAGTTGAGCTCAGACTTTCCTGAGCAGGCCTTCTATCCTAAGGCAATGTAGACAGGACCTGAGAAGGTAGGCATTCCTCCTGTCTGGAGGCCTTTACCTCTGGGGTTGCTTCTCACAAGACATAGGGATTTGGGTCACAGGCCAACAATTAGCACTTGGGCCACTTGGTTTTGAAAGCCCACTTACTTGGGCTGTCCCAAGCTGATTGGTCAGTTGTGAAGGCAAGAATGGAGAATCTGATTAAGAATAATCCAGGGAGGGATTCTCTAGAGTGATCTGAGAGGTGAGCTAGAAATGTAGGAAAGCCTTAAAACCTGGTGCTATGGCCATCTGTTGTCTTTCTCAGTCTGAATCCAAATGTTATCGACATTATCCCTTGTCCGAATAGCCTAAGGTATAGGGGTACCAATGGGTCAGGCTCTTCATAGCCTCCACATAGCTGACTATTGCCTTCCTCCTGGGAGCTGTGTAATACTTCTCCCTGCAAGTGCCTAGAACACCCTATTACCTAAGATGATCATATATCCCACTTCTGGTTTACTCCTGCTGTCCTGGCCTAATTATTGACAGTGCTCCCCTTCATTCTAAAAGTGGTCAGTTTGAATGACAGATAGGATCACCTACCTAGTGTGTTCTAGTCTCCTAGGTCAGAACTGCCACTTCTGACCTTTTTAACATTCCATCCTCATTAAGCCTCAGAAAGTTCAAAAAACCACCCATATAACATACAACCACCATAAAAAGTGTTCAAACAGATTGTCAGAGATGACAAGAAAAATGAGTAGATGCAGAAAGCAGCTGGAGAGCGCTCCTTTCGCTGGCAGATTCCCCACCCCTCATCTGGAAAACATGGTGGCAGCTCTTTGGTAGACATTAGTCTGGGTGGAATATTCCAAGGATTTTTGCATACATGGTATGGGTTTTGGTAATATGCCATATAAATCAATAGGAAGGGGATTTATTTGTTAACCATGAATTTGTTAACCATGTCTATAAATAAAATGAGGAGCTTCAATAAATTGAGAGAAATGTAAACTTTCCCAAAGGACCTCGGCTTAGGCCTAACACGGAGATAGAGTGTTCCCTGAGAACAAATCTTCCGTTTGCCTTTCAGTTATTCTTTGTTGAAGTTGTGGGAGTAGCAGGCAAATTGACCCTTCTGGTTATTAAGCCATTCTACTTCAACTGACAACCTCAGCTGAAGCTCTGGGGGGTTAATATGGATTCAGTACCCCAAACTGCTGGGGCCCTAAGGCTGGAACTGGGGCAAAATTCAAGGCCTTATTCCCCGAGGCCATCACACCTATGGCCTGTATGCAGCAGCCTGTCCGTCTCTCCGCTTTTTTCTGCAAGGAAGGTGCTTCTAGGAGCCATGAGCATTACGCACCTGAGACCTAGGTGTTAGAAACACAGCCAGCTAGGTCTGACCTACGCCCTGTTTTGTGTCCGCCTTGATATGCTGCAGGTGACATCAGTTGCAAGGGGATGACCGAGCGCATTCACAGCATCAACCTTCACAACTTCAGCAATTCCGTGCTCGAAACCCTCAACGAGCAGCGCAACCGTGGCCACTTCTGTGACGTGACGGTGCGCATCCACGGGAGCATGCTGCGCGCACACCGCTGCGTGCTGGCAGCCGGCAGCCCCTTCTTCCAGGACAAACTGCTGCTTGGCTACAGCGACATCGAGATCCCGTCGGTGGTGTCAGTGCAGTCTGTGCAAAAGCTCATTGACTTCATGTATAGCGGCGTGCTGCGCGTCTCACAGTCAGAAGCTCTGCAGATCCTCACGGCCGCCAGCATCCTGCAGATCAAAACAGTCATCGATGAGTGCACGCGCATCGTGTCGCAGAACGTGGGCGATGTGTTCCCGGGGATCCAGGACTCGGGCCAGGACACGCCGCGGGGGACTCCCGAGTCAGGAACGTCAGGCCAGAGCAGCGACACGGAGTCAGGCTACCTGCAGAGCCACCCGCAGCACAGCGTGGACAGGATCTACTCGGCACTCTACGCGTGCTCCATGCAGAATGGCAGCGGCGAGCGCTCCTTTTACAGCGGTGCGGTGGTCAGCCACCACGAGACTGCGCTTGGCCTGCCTCGCGACCACCACATGGAAGACCCCAGTTGGATCACACGCATCCATGAGCGCTCGCAGCAGATGGAGCGCTACCTGTCCACCACCCCCGAGACCACGCACTGCCGCAAGCAGCCCCGGCCTGTGCGCATCCAGACGCTGGTGGGCAACATCCACATCAAGCAGGAGATGGAGGACGATTACGACTACTATGGGCAGCAAAGGGTGCAGATCCTGGAGCGCAACGAATCCGAGGAGTGCACGGAAGACACTGACCAGGCCGAGGGCACCGAGAGTGAGCCCAAAGGTGAAAGCTTCGACTCGGGCGTCAGCTCCTCAATAGGCACCGAGCCCGACTCGGTGGAGCAGCAGTTTGGGGCCGGGGCAGCACGGGATGGCCAAGCGGAACCCGCCCAAGCCGAGCAGGCTACAGAAGCCCCTGCCGAGGGTGCCCCACAACCGAACCAGCTAGAAACAGGTGCCTCCTCTCCGGAGAGAAGCAACGAGGTGGAGATGGACAGCACGGTCATCACTGTCAGCAACAGCTCCGACAAGAGCGTCCTGCAGCAGCCTTCGGTGAACACGTCCATCGGGCAGCCATTGCCAAGTACCCAGCTCTACTTACGCCAGACAGAAACCCTCACCAGCAACCTGAGGATGCCTCTGACCTTGACCAGCAACACACAGGTCATTGGCACAGCTGGCAACACCTACCTGCCGGCCCTCTTCACTACCCAGCCCGCGGGCAGTGGTCCCAAGCCTTTCCTCTTCAGCCTGCCACAGCCCCTGGCAGGCCAGCAGACCCAGTTTGTGACAGTGTCCCAGCCCGGCCTGTCGACCTTTACTGCACAGCTGCCAGCGCCACAGCCCCTGGCCTCATCCGCAGGCCACAGCACAGCCAGTGGGCAAGGCGAAAAAAAGCCTTATGAGTGCACTCTCTGCAACAAGACTTTCACCGCCAAACAGAACTACGTCAAGCACATGTTCGTACACACAGGTGAGTGCTGGCCCCCCTGGAGGCCTGGCAACAGGGGGATGAGGGGACTGTGGGAAGGGAAGGTATGAGAGCAGGTGGAGGGGAAGGTTTGGAGTCATTTTTCAGATTTTAAAGAGACCCCACTGCAAGCCTGTTCTAGGAGGCCCACCTGTGGTCCCCATCATAGGAACAAAGCACTCTGCCACTGGAAGACAAAATCACAGAAACCCTTTATGGAGAAGGGATGTCCTAGAGATGCCCAGCCTGTAGAAGAAAAGACTCAGGACATCATATAAGCCATATTCAAGTATCTGAGTTTCAGCGGCAGCTTAATGTAGTACTGAAGAGCTTCAGTTCTAGAGCCAGATTGCCTGGGTTTGAATTCAGGCTTAGCCACAACCAAACCTTGTCACCTTGGAAAAATCACTTAACTTTTCTATAATTCAGTTTCCTTGTTTATAAAATGAGAATGGTAGTAATACACCCTCCTTATAGTGCTGTTTTAAGAATTAGATGTATTAATACATGTGAAATTTTTAGAGTAGGTCTTAACTCATAATAAGTACTCTATAAATGATAGCTATTATTAGCATTATTAAGATGGTGGGAATGAGGAGACATTCGGTTTGTTTTGTTTGGCTCCAAAAGGTAGAACTAGACCAATGACTGAATGCTATCAGGAGATTCTTCCTATTAAATAAGATAACAAGTTTGAGAACAATCAGAGCTTCTCTAAGGTGGGATAGACTTGGGTGGGAACTCACTCAAAGGAAGTGAGTTCCTGAAATTAGAGATATTCAAGGAGAGAATGGATAATCATTTTGTAGCGATGTTGTTGAGGGGATTCAGTCATCAAGGTGTGGACGATGATGTTTCAGACCTGGATTCTGTGACTCCAGAGCTAAGCTCTCCTGACCTCTCAGCCACTGCTCTTTCCTAGTTCCATAATGGGACAGACATATTGGGAACTCCATGGATGTGCGTCCATATAAGTGACAACCTATATGATTGTGATTTCTCATAGATTCTCCTGTATCTAAGACTACCTACCACAATGATGATGATTATCATATTTGAAATTCTTATAAGAATCTCTCTTCTGGTAAACCTCTGGTTCCAGAATACCCCTGTTAAATGACACATAATTTGCCAGTGAAAAGTTATATACTTGGATTCTGATGCATGAAAACAAATTAGTTTCTCAAAACAAACCTTGTTTCTCAGATCAGCTAGAAGGAATCTAAGAGATAGGACATAAAACAGATAAGTTTAAATTGGAGACTAGGAGGAAAGGAAAGCAGCAGACATGGAGACAAGGTGCCCAACATGGAAGTGAACACTGAAATAGAATATTACTTAAGATGAAATTTGCCTTTTTGCAGTTTAAGTCAGTACATTATGTAAATTAATGTATGCATCTTTATGGGAATCAGTTGTTTCTTAAAGATTGCAGTTTTCACACCTCCAAATAAACATAGTGACTCACTACTGAATTTAGGAAGAAAATTGGGTAGTGGTAAGTCACTATGTTTACTTGGGGTAAATGTGAATGTACTAATAATCTGAGATCAATCAAGGGAAATTTTCCATCTAGTATCAGTGTTGCCATTATTAGGAGAATTAATCAAATAGTAATGTTTTTATTTATGCAGCAACTTATGGTTTACAGAGTGTTCTTGCATAATTTATGTCTTTCCTCTGAATAGCCAATTTATAAGCCATCAAATTAAGGATTAGGGAGAAAAAAGGACTGAAAGTGTCTCCTTTGTCAAAATTGACTCTGATGGTCTTGGATCCACAAATATATCTACTCTTTCCTTCTATGCATCTCTTCCAATAGACCTAGCAGATATAAAATTCACATATTCTGTTAGCTCACATATTGAAATAAGGCTTTAAATTTGCAACATGAAATTTTTGGTGTACTACCGAAGATTGTCTTTTTGATATATAAATACATTCCTCCAATGGATTCAGCAAAGGATTCTGTGGTTAACCCAAATAACTAGGTTTGCCCATGAGAAAATTTTAGCAATGGGTTTGCACACCTAGACATCATATGCAAAAGCTACAAGTGAAGTCATTTTATAAATCTGAGTTATAATCAAATGGATCTTCAGATCTCTAGTAAATAATGAAGCACCTCAGTAAATTATGAAGGTTTTTGTACTGGTGTATATAATGTAGCCACATCTGAAAACAATGTGCATATGTAAATCAAGCACTTCATTTTAAAAAAGCAGTGCTCTTCCCTTTCACTCTGGAATTATTTGACAGTAGCAGTTTGGTAAGGCCATCTGCCTTTCAAGACTTTTGTCTAACTGAAGGACACCCTAACCTAACAAAGTTTGAGAACTATTTGTCTAGATTTTCAAAAGGCAAGACAGCCTGAACATGTGGAAGTAATTCAAGACCTGGGTTCACTGTGGCTCACATTTCCAAACAACGTTCTTTCCAATTTCTTGAGAAAACATCAAAAAAGTAGGGCCTTGCAACTTAACAGGAGCCCAGTGGAAGTGATAAAAATCCAGAGCAAAAAGTCCAAATGTTGGTATAAAAAGATTCTAGAAAGTACTGGGGATACTTGGAAGAGTGTGGGTGGACTCAGTGTTCTTACCTATAGTCTAAAAAAGAGTCCTAAAAATAAAGAATAGCTTGACAGAACTGAAAGGAAAGAAACTTGGGTTCTCTCTATCACAGCCACTATGCAAACAAATAGACCAGCACAGTAACTGGCTTTGCATTTCAGTAACACCAAGGTGTAATGTAGATGGTACTTGCTTTCAACAACTGCAGACTCAACTCTGAGATCTGATTCCAGTTAAAATTCTATATAGCTCTATGTTAATGATCCACATATTCATAAAGAAAGTGTTTGAGACAAATAGGTAGTCCATCATATTGAATTTGGGCTAAGTTCTACCTTAGAGAACCAAGGAAGCCCTATTTGTAAAGCGTATTTTGTAATAATTATAACACTAAAATTTAAAGTAGAGGCATAAGTACAAGATGATCATGCTAGAATTGGATGACTTCGGTCCAGTTTTGTTTTCTCTGACTGTGTGGCCTTAAACAAGTCACCTGATTTCATAACCCTCAGTTTCTGAGTTTAAAATACAAATAATAATTTTCCTGCCTTTTGAGTAGCTGTAAAGGCATGATGCATGTGAGAGCTTTTCATAAAAGATGAAGTATTACTTAATTTAAAAAAAATTCATCTTCATTATTTTCTTTGCTCTGTCTCCCATCTCTAAATAATACACTTTCAATGTGTACCCTTCCTCCGTGGAATTCAAATGCTGAAACCATGTGATACTTCTTGGGTTTCTCCTGATCTTCTTTCTTTACAAGAACTTTTTTTATTCCTTATTAAGTTTGATGAGAGTAAAAGAAAATCCCTCTCCTACCACTCTCTATCCACTGCCTAGCAAACCACAGTAGGACTTCCTTACCTCTAGGGGTTTCTCACATTCACTTATGGCAGCTTCATAAAAGTGTGAGAAAGGAAACCAAGAGTTAAAGATGTGTTTGAAAGCAAGAGAAGTAGAGAAAAAACAAAGATAACACAAATCATCCACAATGCAGGGCCCCTGTATACCTCCTTCCACCAAGAGAAAATACAGAAGTCCAATAAAGGAATGGCAATGAAAGGGAAAGACAGAATATAAGAAGGATAAGCCTTGGTGTCAACATGGATATGGAAGGCAAGCGATAGAGAAAACTCAAGAATAACTCAGAGCACTGTGATCCCCATACCAGCAGCATGCAAATTCTGTCCCCCCTCGCTTCATCCACACCCCCAGAAATCCTGAATCGGAAACTCTGGCGATGGAGCCCAGCAATCAGTGTTCTAACAAGCCCTGATTCATGCTAAAGTTGAGAATACCTCCCCTAGAGAGCTGAGCCTAGGCAGTAAGGAGGAGGATGGCATCAGGTTGCTTTTGTTACATAACATTATTCTTTAAAATTCCACTAAGAAGAATCTGTGTGTTTAGAAAAAGAAAATCAGAGTTACAGATAAAAGCTTGATTTTTGTAGTGGATAAATTATATTACAGGAGCTAATCTCTCCCATATGAGAGTCTTCCAAACCACACAGGTACCATAGCAAGCAAACCCCTTCTGACACTTAGCAATAGTGACTTGTATTATCAGTGTGTATTGTCTTTACACCTTCCCACTGGAACGTAAGCTCTGTGAGAGCAGAAACACACACACAAATATATCATACTTCATACATATATATGTCATACTTCAATGTACCTAGCATGATACCTTACACGTAATAAACATTCAATAAATCCTCTATCAATGAATGAATCAAATCCTTCTCTAATGACGTCTAACCACTTCCAAAAGGATGAGTGGTCTATTTCCATAGCGTTGTTTATTTTATGATACAGCTCCACAGACCTAGTGCAAAAAATACGTTGCATATTTATATGTTAACTACTTTCTCCAAGGTTCTAGAAACATCTTTTAGATACCGTGTTCCATTTGTTCTTGTCTTGCTCTATGTAACAAAATAGGACACATAATATTCAGAATGACCAGGAATGGCATCTGGGCTATTTCTTTACCTCCAGGTGTAGGGTAGCCAGATTTAGCAAACAAAAATACAGGACCACCAGTACATTTGATTTTCAGATAAACAACAAGTATATTTTTAGTGTAGCTATGTCCCATGCAATATTTGTGACATACTTATACTAAAAAACTATTCATTGCTTATCTGAAATTCAAATTTAACAGGATGTCATGTATTTTATTTGGCAACCCTATCCAGGTGGAACTTTCTTTTAAGAACCAATCTTAGGACTTTTTGCTTTAAAAATCTATAGATGAATACAGGCTAGCATATGTAGTTGCTTCACAAATGTTTATTGAGTAAGTAAATGAATGTTCAAAGTGAACATTCTTTCCAGGAAAATTTAATTCTTTTCTCAGCAAAACTTCTAGATTTTCTCCTTTTTCTTCTTTTTTTTAATTTGCTAGAGAATAGTTTGTACACATATACAAAGT